CTCTCTCTCACACCAACCCTCTCTCTCTCTCTCTCTCTCTCTCTCTCTCTCTCTCTCTCTCTCTCTCTCTCTCTCGACTCTCGACTCTCGACTCTCTTCTCTCCCTCCCTCTCTCCGTCTTTCTCTCTCTCTGCCAGTTTGGCATAGTGGTTAAGAGTGCAAACTCTAAACTGGGGAAAACAGGTTTGATTCCCCACTCCTGTATGTGCACCTGCTTGTGTGACCTTCGGTCAGTCACAAGTTCTTTCAGAGCTGCTCTCTCAAGGGCAGCTCTCAAGAGAGCTCTCTCAGCCCCACCTACATCACAGGTTGTCTGTTGTGGGGAGGGGAAGGTAAAGGGACTGTAAGCCACTCTGAGACTCCTTCAGGCAGTGAATGGCAGGGCATAAATCCAATCTCTTCTTCTCTCTTCTCAATATCTCCTCTCTCTCTCTCTCTCTCTCTCTCCAGATTAGAGTCCACACACTTAACCACTACACCAAACTGGCTCTCACACCAAACTTCTCTCTCTCTCTCTCTCTCTCTCTCTCTCTCACACACACACACACACACACACACACACACACTTATTAGCCACTTTTCTACCTTGCAGAACTCAGTCTGGCTTACAATGCAGATCAAGCAACAATTATAAAAACACATAGTAAACCCCAATTTAAAATCTCCAATTGAGACTGCCAATCAATAAAAACGAAATCAGTCAAGCTGTCTTCCACTGCCTCCTGCCTCTGGAACCTGGCTTTGCGGGAGGCAATGCAGAACCCCAAGGAAAAAGAGACAAGAAGACCCATCTTGGACAAATGTCAGTGGCGACATGAAAGGAAGGACCCTTGCAGTGGAACAACTTGGGCTGGGTCTCCTCTGCTGGAGCCAAAGCCTGTGTCTGGAATGCAGCAAAACAGCAGGTTACATCAAGGGAAGGCAAACCAGATTGGCTGATTGGCTGAGCTGGGGCACAGAGAGGAAACGGCATGCTTCTAGGGAAGTAACTTGGAAGAGGAAGGGTCCATGGGCCATTCATTCATCCCACACTCCGGCCTCCAGAATCAATCCTCCAGCATTTGTATCGCAGGCAGGAGGCCGCAGAGGGGAGAGATGAATGGAGAGCAATGCCCTTGTAGTGCAAATATACTGCTGGACCTCCTGAGGGCACCTGGTATTTTTGGCCACTGTGTGACAGATTGTTGGACTGGATGGGCTATTGGCCTGATCCAACATTGGCTTCTCTTAGGTTCTTATGTTCAAATAGTGTCAGCTGGCTCAAGGAAGTGAACCAAACCACACACTGCAGAAGAAAGCAGACTATGTCATTGCCCTATCTGCAAAAACAAAGTTGTTTCCTAAGGGAGGAGGCAGTTCCCAGGAGTTGGTAAAAAAAACCCCCCCCCACACACACACACAAACCCTTCAGCAGCAAAGGCAGAACCAATATCCACTTCTGGTTAAAAAACAACCACAGGGAGAGAGAGAGAGAGAGAGAGAGAGAGAAATGTTTTAGGTGGCTCTAGGAAATCACCGGAAGCCCTAACCACAGAGTTTCTGACGAGTCACAGAGATACAGTTTCTCACTCCCGTTTTTTAAAAAAATTTCCTAGAAGTGACAAGATGCCGTAGCCGGCATCACGGGGGGAGGGGAATCTTTATTTTTCTTTTGCCACTGCTGAGCAGCGACCGGAGCACGATGGGGTGCGGGTTCCCTTCATCCCAACCGGGGGGCTCGGCAGCCCTGTTCCACCACCATGTCTCCAGGAATTTCCCGTCACCGAGTTGGCAACCCTCAGTGACCTCTTCAAATGACCCCACCCCACCCTCGCTTGGCCCTATCACCCTAGTATGCCAGTTGTGGAATGTGTGTTCTGCTAACTTGGGACGCATGAATCAGACCTCAGCATGTTTAAGATAAGGAGGTCCCAGAGCTCGGATATGCCTGCCCAGGAGCTAATGACTGAGGAAAGATTTGAACGGGGGACTTGACCTTTATACCCCAAACAAGCAAATACACAAGCAGTTCCTTTACAGCCAGTTAGCCACCCATTCGTGAGCAGTATTCCCTCTAAACTGAGTTAGGGTGAGCCAGGTCACAGTTTTCTAGCCCCCGGCTCAAACATTTTTTTTGTCTTCACTCAGGAAGGAGGGCTCCAGAGCAAACTAAATTTATGCAGTCGCCAAATCGCTCGCTCACAGCTTTAATGCCGGCAGCTCACAAAGTAGAATTTTTGCTCACAAGACTGCACAGCTTAGAAGAAGAGATTGGATTTATACCCCGCCCTTCACTACCCAAAGGTGTCTCCGAGCTGCTTACAAATTCCTTTCCCTTCCCCTCCCCACAACAGACACCCTGTGAGGTAGGTGGGGCTGAGAGAGCTCTGACAGAAACTGCTCTTTTTTCAAGAACAGCTCTTATCAGAACTACGGCTTGCCCAAAGTCATCCAGCCAGGTGCAAGTGGAGGAGTGGGGAATCTCCCAGATTAGAGTCCGCGCACTTAACCACTACACCAAACTGGCTCTCTTAGAGGGAGGCTTAGAGGGAGCCTTGTTTGTGAGCATATCTGCTCCACTCCTCCACACCCGACAAATCTGGGGGGCTTGCTTAGTCTTTTGCTCATTTTGATTTCCCTGCACTGGTGCAATTGTATTTTTGAAACAAATGAAGCCAAGCCAAAGTCAAATGAGCAAACCCTGGTATCAGCCACCTGAAAGACAGAACTGTTGGAAGGAAGAACAGAAAGATTTTTTAAAAATAAAAAGAAGAAGAAGCCATTGCTATGTGATGTGCAATTACTTACGGGTCTGGAGGCTTTGCAGAACTCAGAAGCAGGAAGGCAAACAGCAGGAAAACCCGGGAGCCCATCTCCACTCTGCAGAGAGAAAGACGAGAGGGAGTCCTTGAGTCCCCTGGTATTTAAGCAGCTCCTGCGACTCACTGCTCCTCCTCTTCCTCTTCTTCCCAAACCCAGCTCTTCGAGTCAGGAACAATATTTACATACTGCTCGGCATTTCCTTCTCTCGCCAGTCCCTTCTGCAGTGCTCCTGCCTGTGAGTCCAGGGCCAGGTGATTCCAGTATTACAGATCCACTGTCTTATCCTCCAAGCATGTCACTCACAGTCTCTGGTTCCTCGCCAAAGGGCTCGTCATTATCTGCTTGAGTTCACTGACTCACGCCAAACTTTTGTCCTAAATCTTTCACAACAAGTGTCGGGGAAAAAACAGGGATGGGGAAAGAATGGCACGTCTGATTTGCCGCAGGGCGGTGGAAAGACTTCTGGTTCTGGCCCAAACGGACAACGAGGCAGAGGGTCGTTCCTCGGGGGGCCCCAAAGGAAAGCAATTCCCAATGCTCCACCACAGATCTTAACAATTTACACACTGTATTCATGTCAATTCGCTGTTGTAGGTTTTCCGGGCTGTATGGCCATGGTCTTGGCATTGTAGGACCTGACGTTTTCACCAGTAGCTGTGACTGGCATCCTCAGAGGTATAACACAGAAAGATGGAGTGCTCTCTGTGTCAAGATGGAGTACTCTCTGTGCCTTGACACAGGGAGTACTCTATCTTTCTATGTTATACCTCTGAGGATGCCAGTCACAGCTACTGGCAAAAACGTCAGGTCCTACAATGCCAAGACCACGGCCATACAGCCCGGAAAATCTACAACAGTGAATGAACTCCGGTCGTGAAAACCTTCAACAAGATATTCCTGTCAATGTTGCAGCAGTTCCTCCTGCCTGGATAGCAGCTCTTCTTGCATTTTTGTGACAGATGAAGAGAAGATAGAAGAAGAAGGATTGAATTTATACCCCACCCTTCACTACCCAAAGGTGTCTCAGAGCGGCTTACAAACTCCTTCCCCTCCCCACAACAGACACCCTGCGAGGGAGGTGGGGCTGAGAGAGCTCTGAAAGAGACTGCTCTTTCCAGAATAGCTCTAAAAGAACTTATGACTGACCCAAGGTCACACCAGCAGGTGCAAGTGGAGGAGTGGGGAATCAAACCCGGTTCTCCGATATTAGAGTCCGTGCACTTAACCACTACACCAAACAGGAATGATAGGAGGGGGGGGCGTGGCATCCCGCTGAAAGCATATGGACACCTAGAACTTCAGCTCCTGCCCTGATCCTTCTAAAATACATTCAAAAACATGGAAAATAGACAGACTACCATCCATAAAGATGGGGAAAACTGGCTCGGGTAAGAACAAAACTCCTGGCCAAATATCAAAGTCGGTGAAGGCATATTTCCCGAGGGGTGCAAAAGATAACTCCGTGGGTACAGAACAACGACTCTCAACTAAAATGGCAGCCGCCATTGAGCCGAACGCAGCGAATTACTTTCTCCAGAGGTACTTTTGCTTTTTGAAAATTTAGAAGACAGATTTGCTTTAAAAGTAGAAAACGTACTTAAACCCAGGTGTCATTTCCTGCAGGAGCGCACAGGAGCAGAGCTCCGGCAGTAAAGAGCCCAGGGGGCGGGCACATGCAACAAACCCCGCCCCCTGCTCCCAGCAGCCCTCAGTCAGAGCAAGAAGCAGCCAGGTGCAGAGCCCCTCCCAGCCCCCCGGTCCAAACCAGTCCAGTGGCACCTTTAAGACTAAGTTTTATTCAGGTACAAGCTCTCTCTCCTCTGCGAGGACAAATCTGCACGTTCCCCCCCCCAATAGCTTGCAATCCAAAACTGTCCAGTGGAGCCTGAGCGGTGGGTGTTGCCTTCTGACACACTTCCGGTGATGTCAGGGGGTGTGGCATATGCAAATAAGTTATGCTAATATGTTATGCTAATGAGCTCTTGCACCTCTTTTTCTACAAAATGACCCCTGCTTAAACCTATGTCAGAGCAACTACAGGACCTTACCGAAAATGTGCAAAAAATATCTCAGACTGCTGATACAGCACTAGAACACTGCATAACTTTGCAAAATGAAGTGCAAGATTTGTACTCTAGAGAAACCTGGGTAAGATCCAAAATTATGGAACTTGAAAATGCATCACAATTTCATAATTTAAAATTTCGTGGGTTCCCAGAGTCTTTGTGAAGGGACTACAGAGCTCACCACTTTTATTGCTACTTGGCTATCCACCATTTTAAAGCTAGAGGCAGGAATTGCGCCGTTTGTAGACCGTGTTTACAGAACGGGCCTACGTAAAAATAATAATCCTAATTTGGCAAGAGATATCGTAGCTCGCTTTCCAGACTTTCGCACAAGAAATAAAATTCTCAAGGAAGCCAACGCTAGTAAAATGTTCACCTATGAAGACAAAACAATTCCAGTGTTCCAAGATTTATCTCTTGAAACCTTGCAACGACGCAGAGACATGAAAGCAATTACAAAATGCCTGCAAGAAACAAAGATCGCATATCGATGGTCTCCTCCCGGCAGACTGCTGGTTTTAAATGATGGCAAAGCATTTACTACTACTTTACTACAAGCTCTGGATCTTGAGCTTCCACCTGATCTGTGACCGTGTTCTGAAGCAGAAGTAGAACGTCTTGCACACCAATCATGCTGGAAGAGGATCAACCCTAAACGTCGCACTTGATTGCTTCATTAACTAATATTTCTCCGCATACAAGAACTCAATTTGTTTATTAACTTCATTTATTTGTTAATTCACAAAATTAGGTTGAAAGAAACACCTATTGTTTTATAAGTTTTTGCATTTCACGTTAAGAAACTTAGAAGATATATCGAAGGAGGGAGGGGTCTTAGTTCTACAGCTCCGTTAGTTAGAACACCTGGGAGTGAGAGGTCTTTCCAACTAAGCCTTTCAGTTCGAGTTTCTATCTCCAGGTGATAACCTCTGTTGGAGGTTGGGGATGTGTTTGAGTTAATGTTTTGGAAAGGTTGGGGGGGGCAAACAAAGTTACTGTTGGTTTGTTGGGGGGTTAGGGAGGATAGGGTGTTTAATGTTCTGTGTTGTGTGTTGTTGTTCACTATCTTTTTCATAAAGCAGTATTTTGTCTTCACTCACTGGTATCTCTCATTTTTAACCTTATCAGTAGAGGTACAATTTTTTATTTTCTCACGCAGCTATAACTGGAGTTTTGTAAATCTTCAAAACTGGCTTATTTCTCTGTTAGCTTTGGGCTTTTCATATTTACATTTCAAGAATGAGTTTTTCAAAAATCTCTTTCAAATAATTCTTTGTGCGTTTAATGGTTATATTGAACACTGTTTTTATTCTATATAGTTATTAAAACGAATGTTGGGAAATTTGAAGATACTTCTCGTTTTCTGCCTGGAAAATTTCTTGCTGTTCCAGACTAACTCAATTACATTCTCTGTGGCCTTCTATGTATTGGGTAAGAAATTACATTTAATTATTTCTCCATCTTTTCAATTAGTTACATGGATTGTAAAGAATATTATGTATATCTTTTGGTTTGATACTATCAATGACATATAATCCTAAAGTAATTACAGTCAACTGCAGAGGATTAAATAATTGTATTACGCTTAAGAGAATTTCTTCAATTTTTAATAAGCAACGTTGATATCCTGTTTTTACATGAAACAGACATAAAAACCGCAAAATCCCCCATTTTTTCTTCGTCAAAGTGGGGACAACAAAGTGGGGAGCTCTAAGTCCCGAGGAGTAGGGATTTTATTTTCAAAAAAAATCAGATTTCAATGTGAAGCAATAGAAAAAGATGATTTTGGTCGTTACAGTTTCTTAAAAGGAATTTTGGATGGACAGAAATTTACTTTAGCGTCAATATACGCGCCCAATGAGAACCAACTTACTTTTTTAGACAACACATTTCGTAATTTGCAACTTTTTGCTGAAGGTAAAATCTTGATAGGTGGAGATCTTAACATGATCGTGGATGCCATATTAGACAGCTCACATCCACAAAAACACCAATCTAAATCACACCAATCAAATTTAGCACTTTTACTACAAAAATATACTTTATTAGATGTCTGGAGATGGCATTATCCTAATGCTAGGGACTATACTTATTTTTCTCCTGTCCACAAATTATATACCAGAATAGATTATATTCTTTCCTCCCCTGATCTGATTCAACACACTAAAAACCCAGATATTAACTCCAATCTCTGGTCAGACCACTCCTGCGTGGAGTGTAATCTGATTTTATTAAATTCACACCAATCAAATAATTTTTGGTCTTTAAATAAAACTTTATTAACAAATGTCTCAACTTTTACAACCATCGAAACTGATTATTTTCAACTCAACAACCAAACTGACACTTCTCCATTAATTTGATGGGAAGCCATGAAAGCGGTTCTCCGTGGTAAATGTATTTCATTACATGCCGCCTACAAAAAACAAAGAGATTCGCAGATCAGTCAATTAAATCTAAAAATTAATACCTTGGAATCCAGACATAAAAAAATACAGTAGTAAAAAAGTTTATAAAAGACTTTTAGCGGCTAGAAAAGAATTAGAATCCTTAGAAACCACAAAAGTTCTCAAAATTTACTCTATCTTAAACTAAATTATTGGCATATGAATTCCAATCATATAAGACTATTATCATGGAAGGTTAGACAAAAAATAGCAGAAAGACATATAAATTGTATAAGAGATTCTAAAGGAAACGTCTAGTATCTTCTCCTTCTATTATGTCTCCCTTTTTGGGACAAAGCTGGTTTTAAGCCGGGATCTCATATATTTGAGTTTAAAGTATGGTGTCAGAACAACTTGGTTAGATTTGTGGATATTATGAAAAAAGGTAAATTATTGGAAACATCCACTTTGGATGCAAATATATCACAAAATCTGCCTTGTTATCAATATTTGCAGGTTAAACATATGATAGACAGCAAGTCAATACGTAAATCCCTATCTAATCCTTTAACTAGATTTGAGATATTACTTAAAGCTTCCTACAATATTTCCAAAGGGTTATTATCCAAAATTTACACTATATTTCAAGTACAAATCATATCCCAAACATTTCCATACCAAAAAGCTTGGAATACAGACTGCAATCTTTAATT